TGAGGATAAGTTCATCCGAGTCACCAGCCTCAGAAATCGCAAGTTAACAGCAGCTCAGATCAGAGACCAGATGAATGCCACACAGAGTTCTAGCAGCAGACCCATCTCTAGAACAACTGTTAAGAGGAGACTGCGCCAATCAGGCCTTCATGGTCAAATAGCTGCTAGGAAACCACTGCTAAGGAGAGGCAACAAGCAGAAGAGATTTGTTTGGGCCAAGAAACACAAGGAATGGACATTAGACCAGTGGAAATCTGTGCTTTGGTCTGATGAGTCCAAATTTGAGATCTTTGGTTCCAACCGCCGTGTCTTTGTGAGACGCAGAAAAGGTGAACGGATGGATTCCACATGCCTGGTTCCCACTGTGAAGCATGGAGGAGGAGGTGTGATGGTGTGGGGGTGTTTTGCTGGTGACACTGTTGGGGATTTATTCAAAATTGAAGGCACACTGAACCAGCATGGCTACCACAGCATCCTGCAGCGACATGCCATCCCATCCGGTTTGCGTTTAGTTGGACGATCATTTATTTTTCAACAGGACAATGACCCCAAACACACCTCCAGGCTGTGTAAGGGCTATTTGACCAAGAAGGAGAGTGATGGAGTGCTGCGGCAGATGACCTGGCCTCCACAGTCACCGGACCTGAACCCAATCGAGATGGTTTGGGGTGAGCTGGACCGCAGAGTGAAGGCAAAGGGGCCAACAAGTGCTAAACACCTCTGGGAACTCCTTCAAGACTGTTGGAAAACCATTTCAGGTGACTACCTCTTGAAGCTCATGGAGAGAATGCCAAGAGTGTGCAAAGCAGTAATCAGAGCAAAGGGTGGCTATTTTGAAGAAACTAGAATATAAAACATGTTTTCAGTTATTTCACCTTTTTTTGTTAAGTACATAACTCCACATGTGTTCATTCATAGTTTTGATGCCTTCAGTGAGAATCTACAATGTAAATAGTCATGAAAATAAAGAAAACGCATTGAATGAGAAGGTGTGTCCAAACTTTTGGCCTGTACTGTATATTTCAAACCAATCTGGATATTGGGGCATCAGAAACTCGCCCCCTGGTGGCCAGAGCAGGCAGTTGAATCCTACCTGCCCATGGACCCGTCCCGTTAATTGGATCCACTCCAAAATGTAATGGCTCCTGAGTTGGACCATGCTACATGCCTCCACCACGTTTTGTGAAAATCGGTTGGACAGTTTTCACGTAATCCTCATCCAAAAAATGAATGGAAGTGAATGGGTGACCACATGGACACGCCCCCTGAGTTGGATCTGCACCAACATTTAACGTATTCTATGTTAGCACGTGTTACATCCCTCCACCGAATTTTGTGAAAATCGGTCCGGCAGTTTTTGTATAATTCTGCTAACAAACTAATAAATTTGTTCATTTTTGTGATAAAAGCGCCAAATTCGGTTCATTTATAGATTAATATACTGGAATACAACAAAGCTGCTGTTACCATGGTTTCAGCACCACAAATATAATTTAGAGACCAGATAAAGTGAAAAATATGTTTTATTCTAATGCAGGACAATAGTAAATTAAAGACAATGGTGCGATTTAGGCCAGTTATTTCTAAGGCCATTTAACAATGTTCACTGAACATATTTAACAATTACACTCAGAATACGTTAAATGTTGGTGCAGATCCAACTCAGGGGGCGTGTCCACGGGCCGCCCATTCACTTCCATTCATTTTTTGGATGAGGATTATGTGAAAACTGTCCAACCGATTTTCACAAAACGTGGTGGAGGCATGTAGCATGGTCCAACTTAGAAGCCATTACATTTTGGAGTGGATCCAATTAACGGGACGGGTCCATGGGCAGGTAGGATTCAACTGCCTGCTCTGGCCACCAGGGGGCGAGTTTCTGATGCCCCAATATCCAGATTTGTTACCTCTGCCAAGGTGGTTATGTTTTCGCCAGCATTGGTCTGTTTGTCTGTTTGTTTGTTTGTTTGTCTGCAAAATAACTCAAAAAGTTCTGAACGGATTTTGATGAAATTTTCAGGAAAGGTTGATAATGGGACAAGGAACCGGTGATAACATTTTGGTGGTGATCGGTTGAAGTGAAGTGGATAAAATAATAAAATGGCGGGAAATGCGAGCTGCTTGGCGGAGATCTGCGCTCTCCGAGTGCTTTTCTAGTTTTAAATATATTTGTCAACACTTCTGCCAAATTTGGTGCTTTTATCACAAAAATGAACGATTCTAGAAAACTACTGAGCTATGCCGCCACACTGGAGCGAATAAATAAACTTTGAAAAATCCAAATAGATTTTTTTACATGTGGTCAAAGTTTTGATGGGGTGGTGTTACAATGAGTGCGTCTGCTGCTGTTTTGCAGCCACCTTGAGTGTTTTTACCGGTTTAAATCTCCTGGTGTGTTCGTTTTGGAGAGGAGGAGACCTCTGTGGATAAATTGGGTAAGAAAAACCTCCTTACAGTCAGAGGCCAGCTGCACAAAGCACCTCGAAACACCTCGCCAATAACTGACAGGAAAGATCTCGCTGAATAAAACTGCAGAGCGATCATCAGGAGTGCAGCGTTGTAAAGTTGAAGGATCCAAAACAAGACGGTCACAATTCTAAACTGACATCTGGTAAAATTTAAAGCACAAAATCAGTTGCTCATCATTAAAAGTGTCCATCGATGCTTTTGTTTTTCTCATTGACTGAGAGTGGAGCAGCGACTGCAAAGGTACGATCTCTCCTTACTCACCAGCCTCCGTCAGTTAAAAGACAAATGTTCGGAGGATCTGAGAGGTCGGGAGGTGGAGTAGTATCAGACCAAGATAAGGAGAAAAACTTAAATCCTTCAGTAAACAGACTTGAGGAGGTTTAGTGCAACTGATTTTTTCAAAGAAACCTTAACTCAGACTTAAGGGAAAATCTTAAGGTGCTTTGTGCAGCTGGCTTCAGGACTTTTCTGGGATTCATCTCCGATAAAATCAGATTTTAGCACAAAGTTTTTAGCAAGAAAAAAACTCTGTCTGCAGACGTTTAACATTTAACAGCATCAGAATCAAGTGACACACACACACACACACACACACACATACACACCCCTCTCTGCATTCAACACAGTCTCACAAGTCATCACATGTCTAATCTCTCTGAATGTCAAGTGTGTGTCAGACGATAGTTTATTTCCAGGCAGCATGTTGCTAAGCAGACAGAGAGGAGTCGAGTTAATAGATCATTTATTTCAACAACTCAACAACACTGTCGGCATGCAGCCAGTCACATTTCATAAATATACAACACTGATGACGATAAGTTATCATGCAGCATATTGTCAAAAGTCAAAATCACCACAGGAAACATCGAGGCATGTCGAGGTTGATGATGAATTAGTAAAACTACAAACGTATATTCTACAGATGTGTGTGTTCACTGAGGAAAGAAATTTACCATTTTTCTGAAATAACAAAATTATCTTAGAATGTTGAGAAAAGTTTTTCTTTCTCTGAGAATTTAATAAATTATTCCGTTGTTAATTTTGATTTTTTTTTGCCATGAAAACATTTCTCATAATTCAAATAATTATCTCATTATTTCATCAAAACAGATTTTTTTTAATATATAAATTATTTTTTCTTGATTGAATACATTACACTTTTGTAACATTCAGATACGTCATTGAAAATCTTTCTGGAAACTGCTGTATTCACAACACTCATGTTTCAGTCCATCATCACCTGCAGCTCCTGCGACAGTTTCAGGTCAGATTCTGGTTCCACTCACGGCCGTCATTTAATCTGAAGCTGAGGAGAGTCAGTGTTCCTGCAGACGACACTGATGACCTCTTTATCTTCATTGAAATCTCTTTTTAAAACACGTTATTTCTGACACTTTATTTTGCAGCTTTTTATTTTGTCAGAATTTAGTCTCACGTGGCCTTCACTGTGTCGAATGGAGCCTTTGTCCTGAAAGGTAAAGGTTTTCCTCCGCACATCAGTTTCTTCAGTCAATAATTTGGTGGCAGCAGCCTGTGCTGTAGACAGCTGTGGCTCACCCTGCAGCTTCTATTGTCCTGAAGTGTTCTTCATTCGCCATCGTCATCTCATTATTGTCTGTCCTTACAGAGACGTCTACTCAAGAGTCTCAATGCTGATGAAATGAATACGTTTGGGACATTATGTCAGGCTGCGTTCACACCTGCCCTGTTTGGTTCGGTTCAATCAAACTCAAATTCGTTTGCCCCCTCAGTGCAGTTCATTTGTGCAGGTGTGAACACACCAAAACAACCAGACTGAGACCTTCTTGAAGAGGTGGTCTCAGTCCGGCTCCAAAGGAACTCTGGTGCGGTTGGTTTGTGGTGAGAAGGTGTTGCGACCTGGATGTGAAGCAACTGCAGTCACATGACACATTGTTTGGGTTAAACATGAGCATGTTACAGTCCTGGAGGATTATTAATGTGCACCTCCTCCTGTACTGCCTTAATATGCACATTCAGCACATCCAATGCATCAAAACATTGTTTTCTAGTTGGAGCCGCGCCTCGTTTTCAAACTGTATGATTTGACTAAAATGAACAATGACAGCAATATAGTCCACGATGAGCAGCGCTAAAATCAACCTGCGTAGTTGTCCCTCCATTGTGACATTAGAAAGTGTCACATTTATCTTGCAAGTGTACTCTTCTTCAACATTTGCTTTACTTCCTGGATTTTTCCCACATGGAAATTCTGACCAATCAAGAGCAGCTTTCTCACACAAGGCATTTGATCTGGTCCTCTTGTAAATGCTGCAGTGAGAACACCAACCAACTCTAGGCAATTATACAACTTTGGAACAACATGAGTCCCTGATTCAGACCAAAGGAGACCACTCTAGGGCTGACAGCAGTTTCTGGGTATGTTCATAGTTCGTAATGTTCAGTTGGACGTCTCTCCTTCAGCGTCTTCAGTTGAACGTCTCTCCTTCAGCGTCTTCAGTTGGACGTCTCTCCTTCAGCGTCTTCAGTTGGACGTCTCTCCTTCAGCGTCTTCAGTTGGACGTCTCCATGCTGCTGACTGTGTTCACCGCCTGGATGACGTGCACCTTGTTGATCTCCCTCCTCCTCAGCGAGCAGCTGAACACCTTCCTGAAGCCTTTGCGGAAGTGCTTGGAGACGAGCGCGTAGACGATGGGGTTGAGACAGGAGTTGGTGTACGCCACCAGGTGGGAGAGGATGCGGAGGACGTAGGTGACTTGGTTGAGGGGGAAGCGTCCGAACCACATGCAGAGGATGACCAGGTGGTGGGGGAGCCAGCAGAGGCAGAAGAGAGCGGCGACAACGATGATCATCTTGGTGACTTTCCGCTTGGCTCGCCTCGACTCGGACATGTCCTCCACGGGATCCACGCTGGTCCACAGGTATCGGATGGTGCGAGCGTAGGTGAGGCCCAGCACCAGCACGGGGATGAGGTAGCCAAAGACGAAGGTGCACACGTCCATTATGATGCGTGGTTTGGACTCCCAGGCAGGAATGCACACCACAGTGCCGGCCAGGTCCATCTGGGCGTAGTAGCTGAGATACGGTCCTGAGAAAACCAAGGCCAAGGCCCAGACCAGGCAGATGGAGACCAGGGCGTTCTTGGGTGTTCTCATCTCTCTGGAGCGGAGCGGGTAGCAAATGGCTAAATACCTGTGAGAGCAGAGGGAAGACGTGAGATCGGGTCAGTCGTTACTGAAAGATGAAAACCATCTGAGTGCAGTTTGTGTTGTTGACTGAGGCTGTGTTTATTTATATCATAGACTGTATAAACATAATGGATGCAGCCACCCGGTGGTTTTTGGACTCCTGTTTTAAAGCCTCTAGTCTGGATTTTTGGCCACCGCCATCTTGGATTTTTGGAGCCAGTAGTGACCATATTTGGACAAATTGAAACAGGTTAGTTATATAAAAATTCACTCAATGTGCACTTGTCATGAACGGGGAAATTAGCTTTAATCACAGTTTCCACTGTGCGATTTTGGACTCTTCCAGACAAAAATGACCGACGTAGAAGAAACATGGCGGTATCTTTGGTCGTGGCTCTACAACGATGGTCCTACATCGCACAGTGAGACAGGTTTAAAGATGGCCATTGTCCCGGTTGATCAAAGACAGCCTGGGATAAAACTGACCAAAAGTGACCATCTCACTGTGTGACTGCTGTTACCACCTGCGTCTACTGGCAAAGAGGAAAACCTTGTGAAGCCTTGTGTGTATGATGTGTCCTCCAGCTCTGACCATGATCGCGTAAAGAAGGAAATGGAGGCGGAGCTACAGCTGCCAGGTGAGACACCTAGCAGCTAGCAAACACACACACACACACACACACATACACACACACTGCAGTATATAGAGCCCATGACATTATATCGACATTTTTCTAGACTTTTCTTTTTTTTTTTTTTTTTTTTAAACATATTTTTGGACTTTTTTTTCTGTTGTTGAAAATGTTATCAATATTTTTCCAGATATTTATTTAATATTTATCAAATGCTTCATTAACATTAAAAAAAAAATAAAATTAATTAATGTTATTTAATAATGTTTTTTGGGACATTTTTAAAAATATTTTTGAGAAATTTCATTAACATATTTCAGGACATTTTAATTGTATTTTGTGGGCATTTTATTAACTTTTTTTCCTGTGTTTTTTTGGACATTTTAATAATATTTTTTTAGAGTTTTTTTAAAATAATTTTTGACATTTTAATAATTCTGTTTTAGACTCCTTTTTAACATATTTTTGGACTTTTTTTTTTAATATTTTTGAATTTAAATATTTTTCACACATTTCATTAACATGTTTCAAGACATTTTAATAATTTTCTGACATTTTATCAACATTTTTCTAGACTTTTTTTTGTTTTTACATTTTTTCAGACATTTTAAAAATTATTTCAGGACATTTTAATTGTATTTTTTGGGACATTTTATTAACTTTTTTTCCAGGTTTTTTTTAAAGACATTTTAATAATAATTTTTCAGACTTTTTAAAATAATTTTGGACAATTTAATAATTCTGTTTTAGACTTTTTTTTTTCTTTTTTTCTTTTTTAATTTAATAATTCTGTTTTAGA